CAACCCGTTAGTGGGTTACATACTAGTAAAATTTAAAATTTTGGTAAGTTGGCCTTAAAAAATCGGGTCGGGTTCGGGTCGGGTCGGGTCGGTTCGGGTTCGGTTCGGGTTGAAGCTCTAACCCGAAAGTTTTTAACCCGACCCGAACCGAAATTTCGGGTCGGGTTCGGATTGGCCTATAATCCGACCCGAACCGACCCGTTCGGAGCACTAAGCATGGCATCAAACAATTTTTTCAAATGAAAAATTAGATCCTTTCTTATGGTTAGAGAAAGGGTAGGTTTGGGGTATAACTTATACCAAAATTACGTAAGGATTGATTTTGTTAAAAGCCAAAGGTGGTTGCATAGTAAAAATTTCAATATATTGGTTAGTTTTTATATCGTCTGTACATACACTCTGTATATAAATAGAAATTTTCTTATGTAAATTACTCACATTATAAATATTATTTATTTAGCTATTTAGTTTATATTTTGTTTTCCTTTAAATTTTATTTTTGCTTTTATTCCAGTCAGAAGATGTTCTCATCGAAAAAAAATTGTATTATTCCTTTTATGACAAATATAAAGAAACTTTATTAATCTATATTTAATAATATAAGCCTTTAAAGCTCATGATTATTTACAATTTAATTTTAACTTGTTTACCTATCTACTATCTAATTTTATTATATTAATAATTCAGGTAAGCATAATAAAAATTCGTTAATTAAATTTCTTACTCTCATTTTACGAGCAGAAAAGTAAAACCTCCAAAAAAATTTGTTTATTAATAATTTAAGTTTTTAACTTTGTTTAATATCTTTATTGATGAATATTAATTTTTATACTAAGCTACATAAATTGCAACTACACTTCAACATTTACGGTTGTATTATATACAATTTATTGTACTATTTCAAAATTTAACTTATTAGATTTTATGAATCAAAATTATTACATGTAACATCCAATTTTTTAAGTGTAGTGTTCTTGCAAAGTGCATTTGCTAGTTTTTTTCCGATGTTCGGTCCAAGATTATTATTGCTAAGAACCAAATGAGTCAGCGTGGAGTTTTTGCAAAGTGCATCAGCCAATGCTTTTCCTCCTTCTGATCCAAGTTTATTACTATGAAGATCCAAATAAGTCAACGTGATGTTCTTGCAAAGTGCATTTGCTAATGCTTTTCCTCCTTCTGATTCAAGATTATTCTCTTGAAGACGCAAAGAAGTCAGAGTAGTGTTCATGCAAAGTGCATCTGCTACTGCTTTTCCTCCTTCTGATCCAAGCTTATTATGATTAAGCCACAAATTTTCCAATGTGGTATTTATACAAAGTGCATTTGCTAGTTTTTTTCCGACGTCCGGTCCAAGATTATTCTTGCCAATAGCCAAATAAGTCAACGTGGTATTTTTGCAAAGTGCATCGGCTAATGCTTTGCCTCCTTCTGATCCAAGTTCATTCTGATGAAGATCCAAAGAAGTCAGAGTAGTGTTCTTACAAAGTGCATTAGCAAGTGCTGTTCCTACTTCTGATCCAAGATTATTATAACTAAGACTCAATTTTTTCAATGCGGTATTCTTGCAAAGTGCATTAGCAAGTGCTGTTCCTCCTTCTGATTCAAGATTATTATAACTAAGACTCAATTTTTTCAATGCGGTATTCTTACAAAGTGCATTTGCTAGTTTTTTTCCGACGTCCGGTCCAAAATTATTAAAGCTAAGAACAAAAGAAGTCAACGTGGTGCTTTTGCAAAGTGCATCAGCCAATGCTTTTCCTCCTTCTGATCCAAGTTCATTATTATGAAGATCCAAAGAAGTCAGAGTAGTGTTCTTGTAAAGTGCATTTGCTAAGGCTTTTCCTCCTTTTGAGTCAAGATTATCATGTCTAATAGCCAAGGAAGTTAATGTGCTGTTCTTGCAAAGTGCATTAGCAAGTGCTGTTCCTCCTTCTGATCCAAGGTTATTAAATAAAATAATCAAGGAAGTTAACGTGCTGTTCTTGCAAAGTGCATTAGCAAGTGCTGTTAATCCTTCTGATCCAAGGTTGCTACGTAAAATCTTCAAAGAAAACAACGTGGTATTCTTGCAAAGTGCATTTGTCAACGTTGATTTATTAATAGCATAGGCAAGCGTTAAATATTTAAGATTTTTACTTTCTCGCAGAAACATTTCCACTAAAGCGCATCTGATAGCATTGTAAAGTATATCTTTTTTAGTAGTTACATTGTATCCTTCATTTTCGAGCCAATATCTAACTCCATTATCCAAATAAGAACCAACATATGTAGTATAACTTTCGTACTGAAATAATGGCCTTGGATAATTTGGAAGAATAATTTTAAAGGGAATCAATAAAGCTTGTTCTTCAATATTTAATGCTAAAAGATATATTCTTATAAGTCTTTTATCACAAAAATTCTTTGTAGGTTCACTCCATAATATTGGTACAATGATTCTACACCATTGACGGTTTACAAGAAGGCATGAAAATAAGCTTTTATAATCAGTTCGAAAATTATTAAATATTTCAAAAAGGCATTCGTTCGGTAACTTTATCATTTTGAGATTACAATGAATTTAGAATAACATTAAGAAATCGGAATTTACTCCGTTATATAACCAAAGGAAAATTTTGTGAAACATGTGACAGGCTTTGCTGATCATGATCAACAAAAATTTAGCCTATAAAACTAATTTCATGCGTCCCGTACCAACGTGATTTTTTTGTATAAATCAACCAATCAGAATCGCGAAACCTTTTACGTGTATCAGCGCGAAGCAAAAAATAAAATCAGATTCTAGACCAGATACGATATACTAAAGCATTGAATACTTGAACAATCTCCAAGTGTCCAAATAATTTTTATTGGATAAATGAGCAGATGAAGTTTTTTTATTGGACATATCAAAAATTTTAATTAATTAAATAAATACAAATTTTATAAAATTCATACGTATTGATGCTGATATTTGATATTTTATTGATACTGAGGATCATGTTCATACTACACATTCTGATTATCTTGATCAACTATTCATCTTGAGGTTGTTGAATGCCAAACTTGAGTTGGTAACATTTTTCACGTTTAATAAGTAAGATGTGAGGTTCGGGAGTGTGAATCATGTAGCGTTTCCATCCAGGAGTTACTTAACGCCAAGGCTTCGTCATTTTTCCGTTATGAGTCGATAAAGAGAAACGTATTGAACAAGTGGTTTTGAAAGAGCAGCATACCTGTATTTAAATCAATTGCCGTAGTATCTTTGGATTAAAAAATACAATCTTAATGTCCTTTCTCTTTGTTCTATAAACCAGATATTCTTGCAACTCAATCACATTCCAATCGTTTTGATCTTGGTACTTGTTGTTCAAGTTGCATAGTAATTGTTCCATTATTTAGTTAAAGTATAAATTTATCACCGTGATATCGGAATACCGAGTAAAATTGAGAGGTGTGTTGTTCTTTTTAAAATATTTTGTTATATTTCACTTTACGTAGTATTAAGGTAAAGTGTTATATTACGTATATGTCCTACGTGCTAAAAAGCATCCTTCTGGAAGAAATTTCCCGCACTTTAAGTTCAAAAGAACATATACCAAATAATTTTTAACTTGGATTCCTCATAAAACTTCTGGAGACTATAAGTGATGTATGAGAAAAAAGTATTATTAGTTATCTTGATCAGTTTAGTTATGCATCAATTGTGAACCTATTGTTATTTAATTTTTACCTGAATTATTTTTCCATGTGTTTATTCATAATAGTAAAACCTGCTCTAATGTTGAGATTTATGCACACATAAATTAATTAGTAACGGAGTAAAGACCTGAATTTTCGGGGGTACTTGTATTTAAGAATATGCTTGTCGTGATATGGCATACCATTCGTTAGAAAATATATATAATTTTTAATATATGAAATATAACAATTTATGCTACAACTGAATTTTATAAATTCTGACTTTATTCAAATTGATTTGAACAAGGATCTTCAGGCACTCTTCCTTTTTCCGGGGTCGGGTGCTTCAGGTTAAACGATTGCCATAAACCTAAAAAGTAAAGACGAAAAGCTAAACGTGCCTTCAAGGGCTGTGGCCCTTGGGTCAAAGAAACGTAAAAGACAAGAAGACAATCAATTAATAAATAGCAACAGAAAAATGAAAAAATTGCAACAAACAGAAACCAAGACTCCTTCTGGGGAGAAAGAAAACTCTACTTTACCTCTAGCAAAGTCAAATATATTTGCTGCTAACATACAAGCCGAGGTGTCTCAAAGACAAACATCTAACAATAATCTTAATGAAAATTGGGCAGACGAAATTGAAGAAGTAATTGAAACACAGCCTAGTACATCTGTTATGAAGAGTATTAGTGAACTGGAAAATTCTCTGGATATTACTCATGAAAAAAATTTAGATAGAGGAAATGAGCTTGCAGTTAAAAATACAGAAAATCGGGTCTTGGATGACCCAGATCAAATGCAATCTCGTACAGATCTTTTACATATGGAAACATATGATACTGACACAAATTCGGTAACTCATTACACAAGTCCTATTTCAAGTTCCTCAACAAATAAAGACAACCCATACAGAAACAAAGACTCTCTTTATAGCGAGTCAAGGGAGTATAATCAAAAAAGATCTTGGACAAGCTTATTTCCCAAATTAACAAGAGGCCCATCAACGTACTCTACATATTCAGCACATGATCAAATTAGTACCAAAAATAATAGAGCTGTAATCTTTGAAATTCGTGCTCTTAATGATTTATCTATAAATGAGATTGTATTATCTCTAAATAGAAGAATCAGCAAAGATATTCTTGGAATAAAACCTCATTTTACAAGAGGAATACAAACGCAATTAGAAATTATTTTTAAATCTACTGAAAACATACAGAAATACAGTACAGAAGGAATTAGCTTGTTTAGTCGTACCTTCTTAGGCTATATTCCTACCAACAGAAGGAGTTCTTTTTTATCAGTTAAACTCAAGAATGTTCCAATCGATTTTCAAGAGGATATTACAAAGGAAATTAAGAATACATTCGAACATGTAGCCAAAATTTCATCAATAAAACCTCTAGTATTCGAAGGCACTTCAATATTAAGTAACCAATAGGTAGTAATTTTTGATATCTCTGATGATCCAGATATACCTAAATGGATACCAAGGTTTATAACAATAATGGATCAAAAAGTTACTACTGAATGGAGAGAGGCACCCAAACTTTGTTTTTTTTGTGATGCTGAAGGCCATATTAAGAAAGAATGTCAGCAGTATAAGGAAACACAAAAAATTAAAACAGCATACCAATCATATAAAAGAAATAAAAAAAGTTTATTTGAAAACTCAGTACTACATAACCATACAGATACCAACAATATCGATTTTATAACAATCGAACAGTTGACAGAAAATAATGATACAGATGAACAAAATCAATCCACTCAAGAGAAAATTATCTTAGCTCAAACAGAATTAATAATACAAAACAATATACTTGATAGCCAACAGGAAGAATTATCTGATTTTGATATTAATGAAACAGATAATCACATCACAGATCTTGAAACTTTGTTACAAGAAGAGAAAAACTATGAAAATTTAAATACAACAAATAACAATACTACTAATATGGACACAGATGATGTTCATCAAGAGTTACCATTTACATTAGTTAATAATAAAAGAAAAAATAAAAAAAGTAACCCATTATTTGCAACAATAATCAACCTATCCCTTACGCAAATCAGAGCAAAATTTCAGGCAAAAATCGCTCCAAATAATATTTCTTAAATATTTAACTAACATGGTAAATCAGAAAATTAAAATTGCAACTCTTAATGTAAAAGGACTTAATAATGGATCTAAAAGATAGCAAACTTTTATGTTATTAAAACCTTATAAATGTGACATTATACTTATTCAAGAGACAAACCTTACAAATGAAGAAACACGTGATTTTACCAAACAACAATGGAATTATGATTCTATTTGGACAGATAAAGTAGCAATCTTGGCAGAAAATAAATATATAAAATTTACTAATTTCAAAGCATTACAAGATGACAGGATTCTTATAACTCAATGTAAAATTAAACAAAGAACATTTAATATAATCAACATTTACACTCCTCCTCATATACAAGAAAGACTACAGTTTTTTAATAACTGGTCCCCAACAATAGAATCTAATTCAATAAATATAATAGCAGGGGACCTAAACACGAACTTAAGCATTACATTAGATCGAATTAGTCAAACACCATCACATAATGACCCTTCGCATCAAGTCTTAAAACAAAAACTACAAAATTTTATTGATATAGCCACTCATATATGGATACATCCCTTCTTTACCTTTCATAAAAATACACAAAATGGCAATGTAATGGCAACCAAACCTGATTATATACTAATACAGGAGGAATATACAAGTGTTTGCCAATCAATTAATACAAGATATGGTAATTCGGACCATCAATTAGTAGAATGTATATTAGATTTCAGCAACAATATTCCACTGTCACCTTTATAGAAATATAACAGAAGGCAGATGTTAAATCAACACATAAAAAATGAAGTTATAACAGAATTAAAAAAAGCAAATGAAGAAAATTGGGATTTACATAAATTGAGAATTCAATGATATTTCAAGCATTTTGATTACCACATACCCCTGAATCACAAATAAATAAACTCAATCAACGAATAAATAATATAAATACTAAATTAGCAAATAACCCAGATCGTAATGACCTTCACTTTCTAAAAATACAACTCACTATATGGCTTCAGCAGGAATTAGAATTTCTTGCTGAAAAATGGCAAATTAGATCAAAAACTCGTTGGATAGAGAGTAGAGAAAAATCCACAAAATACTTCTTTACTAAATACAAACAAAAACATCTATACTCAGCCACTACAAAAATTCAAATTCCAAATGCACCTCAGGAAAAGGATTCAAGTAAAGTTTTACATTATATTCGGGAAACTTATAAAGAAATTTATCAAAAGGAGGATTTTGACCTAAGTGCAGTTAATATTTTAACCACCAACCTCAATCAAGTTACATCAGACCAAAATATAACATTGACAAAACAAATAACAGATAAGAAAGTAATAGAAGTAATCCAGCATTTACCTAATTATAAAACCCCTGGTGTGGATGAGTTCACATATGAATTTTATAAAGATACAGCAGAAATCATAACTCCTATTTTAACTAAAATTTTTAACAAAGCGCTTAACTCTGGAGAACTTCCAAATTCCTAGTACAAAAACCTTATTATTCTTATTCCAAAAAAATTAGATGACCCAAAAAATGTTAATAATTGGAGACCAATCTCCTTAGTAAATTACGATACAAAAATTTTTATGAAAATTTTGGCAAATCGCTTAAACCCAATATGCCATGAAATAATTGGTTTGCACCAACAAGGTTTTATTGCAGGAAGATCTATTTCGGATACTGTGTTAGATATAATTACTACAATGAGAAATATTGCAGATCAAAATATTCCTAGTTGGATGATGTTCCTAGATCAGCAGAAAGCTTTTGATCGAGTAAATCACAACTCTCTTGTACTAACTTTACAGTGAATGAACTTTTTCTCTACCTTTATATCAATAATCGCAAACCTTTTTAAAAAACAGCATGCATATATTATAGATAATGGAACACTCTCAGAACCATTTGATATGAACAGAGGTGTGCGTCAAGGAGATCCTCTCTCACCTCTATTATATCTTCTAGCATTCGAACCATTTTTGCAAAAACTTACCAATAAAATTCAAGGTATTACTATACGAAACTATTAATTCAGAGCAGTGGCCTATGCTGATGATCTAACCATAGGACTGGGCTCAACTACAGACTGGCTTGTCTTCAATGAAATCTTAACATTATATGAAAAAGCCTCTAATGCACGAGTAAACAAACATAAATCTATACTAGTTCCTCTTACAAAAAAAGCAAAAAGTATAACACTTCCAGGAATAAAAGATTTTAAATCTTTTAAACATAATGATACAGTCACAATACTTGGTTATCCTGTAAATAGTAAGGGTTACGCACCCAAATCCCTCTGGCCCAATACTATTCAGAAATTAAAACAATCTCTAGACAACATATCCACACGAAACCTATCCCTTAGGGGTCGCATTCTTATTATTAATACACTGGTCATTTCTCGTATTTGGTATATAGCTACCCTCTTGCCCCCTTCAGGTAAACAAATCTCGGAACTTAACAATATTATAATGAAAAGTATCAAATGCAATTCAAATACTTTACTGAGATACTCAATATTTCAACAGGCATATTCTACATATGGCTTACAAGCCCTTGTTCTCACAGATATCTTAGCAGCACGCATGATCAATACTTGGATCAAACTTATAACAGGAAATTATTTATGGTCAAAAATAGAAAGAGATATTATAACACAACAAATGTCTAAAATTAGAGGAATCTCAATAAACGTAGCATTATCTTCTAATCCAATAAGAACAAAATCTTGGCCAGATAGATGGAAACCTTATCTCAAGGCCTGGAAAAAAGTAGAAGGATCAATAGATAAAAATAAGAACCCGTGGCCTTGGACCCCTGAATCCTTATTAATAGTACATGAACAAGGAAATAAGTATACTGTTAAAAAAATAATTTATTTTCTCAGAAACAAATCAATAACTCTATCAACTACACAAAATAATTTACTTAAAGAATATCCTGAAGTGACAACTTCACTTCATTGTAATTGGATACCTAACAAAAGAACGGATATCCTTTGGCGGCTTTTTCACAGAGCCCTTCCACTAGGTTATCGCTTAAGAAACATGTTTGCAACGAATAATGGTAACTGCATGTGGTGTGAGGGAAAACTTCAAACTATTGAACACTTTATTCTTGACTGTCCGATCAATCAACAAGTTTGGAACTTAGGCTATCAGATGCTAAACAACTTTTCTAATATAACAATACCCACTTCTCTCAAAGATATTATTCTCCCTAACCAACTTCTCTCAACATGCACTAAAAGAGCTATCAAATGGTTAAACATTAACATAGTCTATGAAGTATGGTGTTTGTACACCTCATCTAAATGAGGTAACAATACAATAAATACCTCCAATATCCCAACCATTATTACAAATCATCTAAATAGAGAACTTACTGTTCTCCAACACCTTCCATATATTGTAAATAAAGGTCTTCAACCGACCTTAAAATTTCTCAAAAAATTGTAAATAATAAATATTAGTGCACATATTAAATAAAGCGCCATAAGCGCACCTTATATCATAAGGTAAATTCAAAAAAAAAAAAAAAAAAAAAATTGATTTGAATTGTAAATGGACAAAGCTTAAACTTTATATACCATGTCAAAACAGCATAGCGGGCTTTTATTGTAATTGGCTAATTTTACGCACGTCCGTAGAGTAAGACTTGACTGTCATAAACTATTAAAAAAAATCTTATAAATTCAAAAGTTGCTTTTAATATTAACTAAACAAATAATTCAGTAGTATATTATAATTACTTTAAGCAAAGCAAACAATATTTCGTTTCTTTAACCGTGATATTGTTCAACACATTCTTCCTTAAAAGATACTTTTTTTACTTAATTCTACCTCTTTCGAATAAATATAACTCGAGCTGAATTCTTCTTTCTTCCATAAAGACAAATATTCGTGAGATTTTGTTTTTGTTATATTACACTGATCATTGAATTTACCTAACACAGTTCGTAATGTTGGCCTAATATTTTAGCAGTTTACATTAATAACTAAAAATGATGTGATGACAAAAATATCGATCTCATCCATTTTCTTAATGCCGTTTTTATAAGTTTTTTTTAACAAATATATCGAAATTTGTATAACTTGCATTTTATTAAAAAATTGGTTTTCTTTTACAGTAAGTCTTATTATAAGTCGATAGGTTATTTAAACTTTTAATTTGCGCACTTTACTCATGTTAGATAAAAAAAAAATTTTAATTTATAAAATCGAAAAAAATAAAGAATAATCAAATACAATCAAATCGATTTTATATATTCAACTTTAACTTCGTAATGATAAGCATTTTCAAATTACTAAATACAATAGCTTTTCATCATGATTTAAGGTAGTGACTGAAATCGGTGGCTTAACCTGTCACAGATTACGGACGTGAGATTTTTACAGATCATTTCGTGATATTTGCAAAATATGATTGGTTAATCGATAATCAAAAATCGTTTAAGATTTTTTATATGAAGCTAAATTGTAACATAAGATTAAATTGGCTTTAATAAACATTAATACGACATTTCAGAATTAAGAATCTAAAACCATAATCCCATCACAACAAGATCCCGTAAACCAAGAGCTTTTTAAATACATAAACGAATTAAAAAAAAAATTAAAAATAATAAAATAAAAAATACCGAAATACAAAAAACAAATCAAAAACACCTAAATAAATCTTAATCGAAATACTAATTTTATTGACATCAAACTATTTAACCAAAATAATTTTAATAATAATCAACGTGGCATCATATTCTGATTTCGAAATTTACAAACTTATACTTTATTACTCCGTGTCGCTAGGCTTGTAACTATCTATAAATATAAATAATAAAATAAATCAGTCTAAACTTAATATATTTGTATATTATATTTATGACTTATTGGCTAAATTGAAATGTCCAGACATACCTCTAATCTAACTTCCGAATTACTTCACGGATTACTGAGAAAATGGGAAAAATCATAACTAGAATTATGTTGAATTAGACTTGATTTTAAAATACAATTTATTAGATTTGAACGCTGAAACAATAATCGTATTTGCACTTTGTCAAATAAAATAAAACCTTCTATTAGTTTTTTTGGAATCAAATCCTGATTCATCAATGAGTTCATTGGCGCGGATTCATTGACGGATTCATTGATTTGGTTCATTGATGGGTTCATTAACGTCTTCCTATAATTAATTATATATATGTTAATAAATAAATGAATAAACAAATAAATAAATAAGGTATATATAATTAATTAACTTGAATAAATCTTTGACAATAGTCATTGAGAAATTGAACAATTATTGGATCCTTTGCATTTAAATTTTGATAAAGTTTTTGAGCTGCGACTCTAATTACTTTAAATACACTTAAATAATTTGCAATATCTGTAATAAATAATAATAAGTTAAAACAATAAAAGAAATTTTACTTGATAACCAGAAAAGATTTACCTTCTGAAAGTCTAATATATCTAGATAGAAAACGATCCTTTAGAAGTTCTAACAGCCAAAAGAAATCTACCAACATGAAGCTTTTCGACATATTGACATAATTATCAACTCTCAAGAAACTTATTCAATATATCTCTGAGATATCGGACATGAGATCAGGATGCTTGGTCCATATAATATATTGAGACAACCGAGTGAAATCACTCTTGAAATCTGTTTGACATAATAAAAGGCAACCAGAAAGAATCCTTTTAGAAGTCTGCTCCAATATGTCATAACAACCGGAAATAATCTACCGAAGATGGGTTCAATATACCAGACATTATCAACTCATAAGGAAACTGTAACTTGTCCCTCTTTGAAAAATAAAGGTAAATAAAAATGAAAAGTAAAAAAGTAAAAAAATTAGTAAACAAAATCAAACAATCAAATATAGGGTACGTGCCCTATCATATTATTGGCCAACAAGATCTTGTAATATATTTGATCTACATACTGCATAAATCTTATTCTTGATATCTAAATAATCTTCAAACCCTATCTGTATCAAAATGGTAACTCAAAAAACGCAACCACCGGTTTTATGTGTGCGGCCAGATTAAAACCTGTAAGCCAAATTTTTGAACTTCACAAATCAAATTTCAAGATCACGGAAATCCTGACGGCTAGAGTTGGCCTCGGTCAGATTGATCTTGAAACTTAATTGATCAAAATCATCAATATTTATGAGGTCAAAATTTTACTTACAGGTTTTAATCTAAAGAACTGCAGATTTTTTTTATAAGATCTCGCCAGCCTATTCATGAGTTAGTATGTAAATATATTATAACAGGTTGAGACTACAGTTGTTAGCGAAACCTAGAGGTTTCGCCACTGGTGAAAGACGAAACCTAGTTTCGAGTTTCGGCAAAAAAAAAAAATTTAAAAAGACGAAATGGTGAAACTGGCGAAACCTGGCGAAGCCTGGCGAAACTGTTGAAACTAGCGAAACTGTGAAACATAGCACAACAAATTGTCCCGGCCAATTCTCGATTTGATTGATGATCAGAAAATTTAGCTGGAATTACTCAAAATTTTACTAATGAAATCACATAGTCGCCCATTAAGTGAAATTATTCCTGGACTAATTTTACCATTGTGTGGGTTTTTTCTTTGAAAATTTCTATTTTGAGAATAAAAAAGTTAAAAAGGTAATTCCAGCCAGAAATTAGCCAAAATTTTGAAGATCCACGCCAGTTAACCAATCAAAATTATAAGTATAGCGTCACACTAGGGTGTTCAAAATAATAGGTAAATCAAATCATAGTCGGGGTACATATGTAAGGATTTTTTACCGGTTTTTTA